TTTCCAAACCATGCTCGCGGACTTTGTTTCAACCCATATAAGGATTTACGAAGGCGACATACCTTTCCATTCTCCCCCTGAGCAACAAAACCTGGCGGTTGCTCTATATAAACTTCTTCTTGAAGATCACCATGGAGGAATGCATTTTTAATATCAAGCTGATGCAAGGGCCAATGGTGAATAGATGTCAATTAAATGAATAACCTGACAGAAGTCAATTTAGCAACCGGAGAAAAAGTATCAGAATAATCAATTCCGTAAGTCTGCGCATATCCTTTAGCAATTCAAACGGGCAATGGATCCATCAGGATGAACTTTAACAGCAAACACTCATTTACAACTGATAGGTTTCTTTCCTGCAGGAAGAGACACTAAATCCCAAGTACCATTGTCTTCTAAGGCAGTCATCTCCTCCAACATAGCAGCCCGCCAACCAGGATGAGACAAAGCTTCATAAACAGTTTTAGGAATAGATACAGATTCAAGGGATGCAATAAACGAACAAGTAGATGATGATAAATGGTTATATGAAACAAAAGAAGAAACAGGATAAGTACACTTACGCTTACCTTTTCGAAGGGCAATAGGAAGGTCATCACTCGTTCCTGGATCCACAGGTAAAGAAGCTGCTGGTATAGGGCATGAGTCCGTAGGAGGTTGCCGACGAGAATAAACTTGAGTAATAGTGGGAAGAGAAGGATCAGGCGCAGAGGGAGATGTATTGCTAGGAAGTTCTTCAGTAGAAGTAGAGACAATAGAATAGACAAGAAAGGTATCATCTTCCTGTGACTGCTCCCCCTCCCCCTGACTGGTACTCAAGGACAATGAAAAAGAAGTATTTTCAAAGAACGAACGAACGTAACGTAAGGAGAGACAAGATATCTATTGAGATCAGGACAATAACATCGATATCCTTTTTGAACAAGAGAGTAACCAAGGAAAATGCATTTCAATGACTTAGGGTCTAATTTGGTGAGCTGGAGGCGAACATCCCGAACGAAAGAAGTGGAACCAAATATTTTAGGTTTAATAGGAAATAAAGGTTGCGTAGGACACAGAGTACGATAAGGTATTCCACCCTTAAGAACTGACGAAGGCATGCGATTAATCAAGAAGCAAGCTGTCGAAACAGCATCGCCCAAAAGTATTTTGGAACATGCATTTTTTTAAACAAAGATACAACTTCTCATTAAAATAATGAAAAGATAATACAAGTGTTTAAGGATACAAACTCCCGAAAGAGTGAAAAAATAAAAGTAAAAAATGTAAATAACAGAATTACACAGAATTAATAAAAGCTCCCCAATTAGCATAAATCATAGAAGGAGAGTGATGCAAAAAAGAGTCGACAAGAGAACACCAAAGTGAAGCTTTAAACTTAGCTGAATAGAAACTTTCGTCGAAAAGTCTTCGTTTTTCTTCAAATAATCTTGAATTCCTCTCGAACCACAATTCCGATAATAAGGCTTTGACAACATTTAACCATAAAAACCGAACTGAAGAGGAAAGATGAGGAGGCCCATGTAAAAGCTGATAAACATTGTCCCCGGCCTTGAGATCAAAACACCAATCCACATTGAATTGATGGAATAACAGATTCCAACACTTAGAGGCAAAGTAGCAATGAAAAAATAGATGGTCATGATCCTCCCCACTCTTTGTACAGAGGCAACAAAAAGAGGGAAGTAGGGCATCAGAAGGAGATTTCTTCTGAATAATATCAGCCGTATTCAACTTTCCTTGAAAGAGAATCCAGCAAAACACATTAACCCTTCTTGGGCTCTTGGTTTTCCATAAAGCAGCAAAGAATTCCTTGGGCATCGATGCATTTGAACCAAATCTTCTTAGTGAAGCAACTGTAAACAAACCAGAAGGTTCAAGACTCCAAAATCTATTATCAATTGTATCTGAAATGGACAGCAGATTTAGAGCTGATAATAATGTAGAAAATTCCTCCACTTCTACCTCTTTCAAAGCTCTTCGCAACACTAAATTCCATGAACTAGTATTTGAATCCCAAAAGCTTGATACCACACCATTAGGATTGATAGAAAGTTTAAAAATTCTGGGAAATGCAGACTTCAAAGGCTCTTTACCAACCCAAGTAGAATGCCAGAATGATACACTTCGACCATTGCCTACTTTAAAATGTACCAAAGAATTGACTGAATTCCAATGTCTAGAAATACCACTCCAAGGACAGCGGCGGCAAATATTCGAGTTGATGGTAGTAAACCAATTTAATGGCTCGTAACCATACAAACTTTCCACCACTTGTCTCCATAAAGAGGAATGCATTTGAAACATTAAGGCTCTTGCTGTTTCGAGAAGATGTCTATTTTTCCTTTCTGCAACTCCATTTTGAGACGGAGTATCAACACACGAGGATTGATGAATAATACCATGTTC